GAGCACCAAGGCGGAGATAGTGGGGTAGCTTGATGCATGCGCTGTTGTTATCTCTGCTTTCCGCGGCTAGTTTGGCGTGCTTGTCTGCTTCTTTGTTCCCGTGTACATCTGAGTGTCCCGGCACCCAATGGACTGTTGCTGTGAATTCTCGATGGTTCCTTGCGATCTTTTGCATCATTCTACAAAAACGATCTGCCAGATAAGATCCAGGACGTGAGTGAAAGCTCTCACCAGATTGGATGGATGCTTGGTTGTCCACCGAGATTGACAGGGGGAACGTTAGGTCACGTTCAGTTGCTATCAGTTTCGCCGCCAATGTTAATCCTACTTCCTCCGCTTCAAATATGGTGTGTTTGTCCTCTGTTCCTAGATGATAACGTAGAGTTCTGGGTGCTTTGCCCATGCGGAAGAGGACCGCCGCAGCTCCTATCTTTCCTTTAAATGCAGATCCGTCACTGTATACCTGTATCATATCTTCTAGCTTCTCATGTTCTTCTATTGCCGTCTTCTTATTCGCAGCGATGTGGACCGTCCATGGGTTCTTGGAGGCTGGGGGTCGGCGTGCTGGGATGAGGGTTTCGATTTCGTCAGGGATAATCGCGAAGCGGTGAGTGAGTCGGTGAAGAGATGTGCGATGTGACGCCACATAACATTTTGCTGCCTTTCGTAGAGGATGGTATAGAGGGTGAGTGGTGGGGTGGGACGTGAGTCTGATGACTGCTCGGTGACATGAGTTTTGTAGGAGGAGGGTAGTGGGTAGGAGGTTGGCGTGTGTCTCGAGCATGTCCGTGGCGGTGGATTTGAGAGCTCCGGTTATGGCTAGAGCGGCCATTCATTGGACTGTTGATAGGTGTTTCGCTACGCTGATGGACCCCCTTTGCAGAGTGTCCGAGCCGTCACGGAAAGCCGGGGAGAACCAGAGATCTGCAGCATATAACATTTTCGGGATCGCAACAGCCTGGTATAACTGACACATCAGTCGCAATGGTAGACCTTTAGCGGTAGATGAAAGTCGACGTAGCTGAAAGACGTATGAGGTGCCACGTGCGATGGCATTGTCTACTTGTGCTTTCCATCGTAATTCTTGGTCCATTATAACTCCGAGGAAACGATGCGTTGGAGTGGGTTGGATGACAGCTCCTTGGATATGCATGTTCGGTCTTGTTCTGTGTCTGTTCATAGAAAAGTCCATAAGTGCGAATTTATTTGTTTCAAATCAGGAATTGTGATCTCTGGACCATTCGTAGCCGCCTCCTGGGCATTTGAGCATGTCTGCTAGCATTTCCCATGCCTTACTACCATCTTCCCATGCATTCCGGTACCATCCTGCTACCCATCCACATCTTCCCCAAGCCGTCCACTACACGGAACCAAGTGGAACCCAGTGGAACAATCACATACCACACACATCATATCCTTTTAGCCTTCGGAACGTCCTCCTCCGTCCTGTCCTTGTCCTTCCATCCTCACTGGTGAGTACTAGCTACATTCCCCATGTTACTAACATGTTCCTATCTGATTTCATATGTGTTACGGTACTTATACCGATCCTTCCGCTACTCGGGACCGGTTTCTTATCTCACAGCCTCACCTGGTTGTATCATAGCGCATTTCGGAACCCCTTCCTATATAGGTAGCAATAGATGGGATCTTAGTTTTTTACCTTCTGATAGACTTGACTCCACTTCCACTTACAGAGTACTTCCCAGTACTCCACTCACTGTCTAAAATATCTTCCCGAATCTATTCCTGATCTCATTGCAACATTCCCGCCCCTGTGAGTTCCGCTTGAAACGCCCAACATCGGATCTGATGACTTGGAGCAAGTACCAGACACAAGCCTGGTCCGACTTTGCCCAATCATCCTCCTACAGGCTCGTAGTTTCTTTTCCCTCCGTTTGTTCCCTGTTTGTTCTGTTTGTTCCGCGTTAGTTCTGTTAGTTCCGCTCGTCACGCATTAGTTCCGCTTGTCGGGAACCCTCTGCATCTTTGTGTTCCCAGTCCTAGTAAGGACCGGAACCCTTCGGGTCACTAGACAGAGTCTAGTCTTTGCTTTCCTTGCACTTATTTGAGGACCCGCTACCCAGTAGCAATCCCCTCGGGACGAGTATTAGTCTCGCACCCTTATTAGACTTCTGAATCACCCCAGAGTCTATTTTCCTCACCCACAACTGGAGCTCACTGCAAGGGTTTCTTGTTCTAGGCTTACCAGTGCTCATTCTTTAACCTACCACAGTCATTCCTTATCAGCTTCTCCCATATTCCCCCAGTTTTCAGCATCTTCTCCTCCCCCCACCGCACAGATAAGCGATTTTCCCACGCGTCTTTCAAGCGGATTTCTCGCTTTTCAAGGATCATATTCCCCTCATTCAGGCCGTCATTTTGAGCCCTAGGTCATCCAATTTGGAAAAGTAGTTGTAGAGATATCAGGTTTTCGTGTTTTTGAGAGGTTGAGGAGAGATAAGCTGATCTTGGGAGATCCAAGGCCTGTCACCTGTCGCGCTTTTGGTCACTTACTACCCTTCAGTGACTCTATCCATCGCCTCATTCATTTTCCTGATCAGCCTGGTGGTTGTTGCCCAACAGCCTCCTCCTCCTCCCACATTGCACCTCTACACATTCTTCCGGTTTCACCAGCCCATTCCTCATTGGAACCCTATCAGCCCAATACTCGTTTTGAAGCCCTCGGCAAGAGCTCTCGATCCTGATACTCCGTTTCCTGATCCGCTCAGCCGTTCCCTCGCTAATCGCATGTTTTGTCGACCTTCGCATTTTATCGCCCCTTCCACCAATTCATTTATACCTCGCCCATTCCTTCGCTGAACTCCATAAACCCTATACTCATTCGGACCGCATTCATCGCTCCAATCCATCCATCCGATCCGCTTCTCGATATGTCCGCATCTTCACTTGCTATCCGCATTCTTGTGCTTTATCGCATTTTCTACCATTTCCTTCATATCTCGCCCATTCCTACACCATTCCTAGTCAACCCTATACTCATTTCGAAGCCCTCATTCGCCGCTTTCTTTCTGTCTACTCCCCATCGTCATCCGTGCAGCCATTATCGCGTTTTAGTCGTTTTCATCTGTTTAGCCGTTCCCCCAGTACCAATGCATAGGTGCCGGGTACCCCCGTTTATCTTTTAGCCTGTTATAGTCCCAGTACTGATGCAGTCCATGTTGACATATGGTCCATGGAAACAAGTGCTGGGGATCCTCAGGCTAGTATCTTCAGGTTCTTTTTAGTTTTGGTTTGCATGTGTTGATGACTGGGGACAGTCATGATCTAAAGCCCCCATGAGGTGTGGGGAGTTATGTTACTCTGGGCTTGTATTGATGGTTTTTACTTAGTTTATGTACGCATTTTACTGCTTATGTAAACAATCAATCTTCTTGAGCCACCACCATGAGCAGTGCTCTTTTGATTCACTTTTCTCTCTGAGCACTACCTAGCTCTAGTCCAGAAACCCTCTAGGGTTGAATGCACCTCATTGCAGGTATAGCAGCAGGCAGCAAGACCCAACACTTTCTGCACCCAGCAGAATAGTTGTACCCACAACGCCCAGCAGCTCCCAGCTATACGAGGGATTCCAGTCTTGGTTGTAGAAGATGACGGTGTCTGCTGCTGTTGAGTTGATGCCTAGCCCGCCCGCGTGGAGGAAGAGCTGCATGGTGTTGGGGAAGGAGGATTGTTGGAATTTTTTTTCATTTGTTCACGGTGTTCCAGGGGGGCTGTTGATCCATCAATGTGCCATATTGACCAGCCTTTTGGTTCAGTAGCACAGTCCTGTAACAAGGGGTTGAATAAGACAAAGCAAATAAAAAGGACAGATGGACCTCAAGCATGTCCAACATAGCAGTAAATTTGCTGAACAACAAGACCTTGTATTTTCTGCGGAACAGCTTTCCCACCAGTCGGTCAAGGAGCATCATCTTGCCATCACATCCACCCGTTGTTCATGAAGCACAAGCTCTTGCATCCCAGGTATGACTGTCCAGTTGAACAAGTATGGGTGTGAGTGGACTTTGTGAAGCGGCATCACATTGTTCTGAAGCTTCGTATAATTGATCTGTTTCCCGAAGTTCGGTTGTTAATTGATAAAAGCAGTGAAACCCATAAAAAAACACAGACGAGGCACAAGCTGCTGATGCTGTTTCCCCAGCTCAAAAACATCTTCCTTCAGCCCCTTCACCTTAGCCACTCCCCCATCTCGAGCATCTCAAAGTACTTGTCATCATCACCATCAGAATCACACCGCCACTGCTTCCGAAGCTTTATTGGTGCATCCAAGTCAATTGTGTCGACTTTCACAGTTGGTGCTTCTTTGGAGATGCCAAGGAGGAAACTAGGTAATGACCCGTCCAAAAAGTTATCATATAAATTGTGTTGGCCATATGAAGGGGAGCTTATAGGATGTATTCCTTCTTCAGTGAGAGAAAGCCCTTGACATCTGCATTGAGTCGTCAGAGGAGCGGCACCAAGATACTGTGAAGGGTGCCAATCAGTTCAGACGACTGTTCCTGAGAGAGGTGAGACTGCATGGTTCTGAGGTTGAACCTAACTAGTACTCTACCATAAGCCCCAAGTCCCAATGTTGTGAGAAAAGTGATGATAAACTATTCCTCAAACGTATCCAGATCGTCAAAAATGTCAGGTCATATAAAATTCAACAGAGACTACAATTATTCTGTAGAACATGAGCAACTTTGAAATCACCATGCTAATGCAGCTCACATAGCAGTGTTTCAGTCAGGATCATCTGACCAGCACTTGGGTATTTTTTAATTTCCTGTATAAGCTTGCAATCAAGATTCTTCAACCTATGTCCCTCATCTATGACAACATAACATATAACCCCAAGATGTACACGGTCTTTGATAATAATTTTGTAGGTGGTGACAACGACCGGGAAAGAAGTGTGGGTCTGTGGAGGGAGGGCATTGCTTGTGGTGGGTATATGGGCATCAATTTCAATTTCAGAAGTGTATTTGTTGTCTTCATGCCTGTGAATTGTCCTCCCCATCGGAGTCTGTTTTGCGCCTCTTGGCGGGTGTGCCTTTGACTGTCCACTTTGGTGCAGGGGCCTTATGAGCAGGCACTTTCCCTTTCGACTGAGTTGCTTCCTGAACATCCCGACTTCATCAATGGGTTATGAAGTGAGCATTATTCGAAGGAAGGGGGATATGAGTAGGAGACTTACAGCAGTGCAAATATGTTGAATTCCTCGATCCAGTTGTGAAGGATGCTCAAGGGGCAGACAATAAGGAATGATTGGTGATGGCCAAGGCCACATAGTGTGCGTCAAATGCGATTGTTTACAGTCTGAATATGTCGTCAAATGGCAAAATCCAAAAGCAAAATCAGTGATATTACTATGCCTAGACCCATCTACTCCACTACAGCATGTACTTAAGAATCCCAAACACGTTGATCAGAAATCAAGAACTCACCAAGAACACCCAAAAATCCATTCTTATCTAAACTAACTATCCACTCCACTCCCTCCAACTGATAATCCTCCAAAGTCACACCAGTGACTAATGTAGGTCGAGGAAACATCAGATGCGGGCCATTCTCCCCCACACCCAGGAGGCGTATCATTGTCTGAATCCTCCACACGTACGCGTTTCTTGCTACATCTTGAAAGCTCGTATAGCTGCTTGGAATGCAAGCACATACGTTTCCTGTCCATCTGTGCTCCTGGGAGTTTAGAGTAAGTGAACAAATTTTCCAGGAGGTGTTTCGACCCGAATGAAATGTTCTCTGAATTCCTAAGTCAAATGAGTGAGGACACGTTTGAACGATGGACAGGAAGTTGGAACTGTTCTACCTTATCTTCTATTGATTCACCCACCTGCAATAACTACTACAAAAACATTGGTAGAGAGAAGACTTTGGAGTGCACTGGGTAAGTTCAATGAATCAACTTATGTCACATGTACTCTTCTGTTGTATAATTACAGCTGTTTCCGAAAGTAATGATAATTGCATAATTTTCGCGCGCACGACCAAAAAGGAAATAAATGAGAAATGGTGTTCTTGATCACAGAGGGACTTCCTGTCTTCCCTGCAGCATCTCTGAGGCATTTTTCATCCCTTCTACTGTGTTTACTACGCGTCTTTATACCAATATTATCCATGGCCAAAGGGAAAAAGGGCAATTCCAAAAAACTTGTGAACCTTCAACAATACATGCAACAAGGTAGTCATGAATTGTCATCACAGCATGCAGCGAGTAGTGGTCTCCTCGAATGAAGACATCGGTAAGGTGTGCATATTGTCCACTGTGTGCTTGTCCATAACACCGTGCATAGGTGTGCTCATCCTTGCTAGTTTCATCGAGGACAACAAATTCGGAGCCGTCACCAATGAAGTCATTGCGAAGGCTGGCTTTGAAGTCTTCTCAACAGGTGTCATATACCGGATCTGAGTACCCCCAGTACCTCCTATGAGCATCCCCACTGCTGGCCCAACCCCCTGTTTCCCCATCCGCTTCATTCCTCCTTCCCCAACAATGCACAAAGTGCATCTCAGCAGGATTAGCCCTGCTACCTCCATCCGACTCTGTTCCGCTTTTCTGACATTACCCCTATGTCCTCTGACACCATACCCCTTCCATCCGACCCTATCTGTGGTTCCGCTCCTCCGCCCTATCGGTCCGCCTGATCCTACTCCTACTCCCTCTGCTTTTCCTCCCCACTCGGATCCTTCAGTTCCACTTGTATTGACCTGCCCGACCATTAGTCCGTCCGATCGCCTCACCGGTCCACTCCTATACTAGGAACCACTCAACTGGTCCTATCCCCGTTTAGTATTATAGTTCCGCTTTTCGGATCCCCAGTAATCCCTATACCCTAGCGAGTCTGATCCATCATGTACATACTTTTCTCCGAGCCTCATTCTCATATGTCTCAGTCATCCCATTGTAATCCTGTACACTCAGCACATAGCCTTCTGCTATGCTACGCTCCTTACTTAGAGTATATAAACCTATGTACCTTTGTCTGTAGATACTCAGTCTGAATATTACCTTTTCTAAGCCCTGCTCTTCTGTCCTTTGACTTAAAAGTCTTTCCTAAGTCAAAACTCCTGTTCCCCGGCCTAGGGGATTGACTCCCTAGGTCGGCTGTCCTCTGATCCTCCGACCCTCTGCTTCCCCGCTTCCCCATTCCTCCATCCCACTGGTTCCGCTGGTTCTGCTATTCCGCGGTTTCTGCTATTCCGCGAGTTCCACTACTCTGTGGGTTCTGCTACCCTGCGGGTTCCACTGTTCCTCCGTCCCCCCATTCCTCCGCTCATCTGACTCCCTGTGCATCGGCTGCACTTTCCTGTGCATCAGATCTGATCCCTGCACTCCCTCATATCCGCCCCCTCCGTTCCGCTCTGCCTCAGACTTCATCCGAGCAGTTCCTCCCACTCCGTTCCTACTGTGGGTTCCGACCCCAGTAGTCCCCCGCCTCTCTCCTGTCGGGCAGAACCCCTGCCCAACTTTCCTGCGCTCACCTAGTAGTCCGACGGTCCTCCTTCAGAGGATCCCCATTCTGACGTCCTGTCGGAACCCATAGAACTCACATCGGACTACATCCTGAAATTAGGGGCACGTACTCGGGTAAGGGGCGCAGCGTATGAGCTGAAGCCAAGCCCCCCAGACTCCGCTTTACCCTGAGCACGGTCTTAACAGGGGAGGTGAAGAGGCTGCTGCGCTCGCAGGAGTAGACGACATTGCGAAA